AAAAATTTGATCTCATTCAATAGGAAATTTGATTCTCTTTAATTTACTTTACGTACTTTATATATATGTTGTATAGTTCTGACGAAAATTGAATTAATGTAAATTAATTATAAAAAAAGCTTACAAGCCCTAAGTGCGGCCGACGCCGCCTACGCAGAAAGGTGTTCTCTGCAAAATGTGTTCAGTGGCTTTTCTTCGCAACACAGAAAGAGAATTTTACTTTGTGTGGGTTATAATCCCTAAGTGCGGCCGCAGGCCGCCTATGCAGAAAGGTGTTCTCTGCAAAAGGTGTTCAGTGCCTTTTCTTCGCAACACAGAAACAGAATTCTACTTTTTGAGGGTTATAATCCCTTAAACTATGTTCACAATACCAACATAAAATACTTAGTTTCGTTTAAAATACCTCACTAAATTAAGTGCGTTCATACACGCGATTCTTTATTTGTCTTGACAGCTTACAGATGGTAAAAAAGATATAAGTTCCTATTCAAAATATGTTTAAAATATTTCAAATTTACTATTGAATAAGGTTTTTGTTGAAAACTACGTAGTTTATATTTAGCTAACATCTATTATAGCACGAAAAATTGTAGTTGAAAGGGTAAGTTTATGAAAAGGCATTGATAAGTGGCAACAGTGTAGTAAGCAACACTGAGTAATCGACAAAATTCTGCGTATACAGACTGCGTTTAAGTATACGTTCTGCGTTCTCGACTAATTTCAGCTTAAGATAAACTACGTACTTTCAACTTAATTTACTGAGAGACTTTACAAGGCGAAATTACTTAGTTTGTACTTAATTTATGCGTAAATTAAGATTGACCTCTAAATTACGCTAATGGGAACATAGTTTAAGTTCGGCCGAAGGCCGCCTACGCAGAAAGGTGTTCTCTGCAAAAGATGTTTTTTTTATAATTATATTACATTAATTCAATTTTTGTAAGAACTTTTCAATATATATGTAAAGTACGTATACCAAATTAAGGGGAATCGAGTTTCCTATTAAATGTGATAAAATTTTTCAAAATAAATTGATTAGTTTTTAAGAAATCTTGATTTCAAAAATAGCTTATTTTGAACTTTAATACTATGTCTTCATTGAGAAATATATCCATTAAGATTTAATAAATCCAGTTGCTAAATCACAACCGTCTCCATTACCACAACGAGATATGTTTGACGTTCACATTTTTAAATATGTGACTTTTTCTTATGTATGATTTTATAAATACAGTTGCGGACATTGATATACAGAGAGATAAAAGGAAGGTGCCAATCGGAATTTCATTATGTGAATTCTTAATATTATTGGCTTCTTATTCGTGGTAAATATGTATGTATAATATATAGTTTGGAAAATGTAAAGAATGGTACCATATTCCTAATCATTTTCCCGAATTTAAGAAAAATTATCGAAACGGTAAAAAACATTTGCGGAAAGAAAAATTGTTGTAGAACTCTCTTAATCATAGGAGGGAACCGAAAATCCAATCGTGGGCCTTTGGCATATCATGAAGACGAATTGAGTTCTAGAGGATGTTCGGTGCAATGTTATCGAAGCAGAACCATTACCGAAATTTATAAATTTTTTGTCGGAGCGCGCAAATGACTTATAGAAAGCGGGGAAGACACTGCATAATATTACTATAAAATATTTCTTCAGAATTTTTAGTTTTTAAAAAAATATTTTCTTAATTTATTACAACCAAAGTTATGTACATATGTATTACTAAATTTCCTCCCAAACTAACAAAAATATAAAAATTCCTAAAAATACGAAAATTCATGTTTTTATGATAGGCTAGATTTCAATGTCCTCAACTGTATATTGAAAACACAAATGTCATTTGACTTATGGCATGTGAATTTGTGGTTGCCACATCCAACAAATTGTACTTATTGATCAATATTATTGAAGATTTGACGAAGATTTAACTTAAATCTACCGCCTTTCGAGCTTTAATTTTATATGGTAAATCTCAAAAGATTTAACGCCAAATCTCGTCAGAGGGCTAAATCTTCATTAAATCTCAAAATGGGGACATAGTATAACCTTTGATAATTGTTGTTGTTGTTTCCCTAAAAAAAGAAGTAAACCGTTGTACTCAGCTCAATCAGCTCTATCGATCCCAATATTTTGTTTTATAATTTGAGATTTGGCGCCAAACAGCATTTGTTTCCTTTTCTGTTGCGTTCATGCGTTGACATTTGAAATTATATTTGTGGATATGCTTATCAGCTGTTTTTTATTTACAAAACAATCAGCGGCACAACGCAAGGTGTGTAACAGCAAGTTTTTCAACGTCCAACGGATCAACGCAACACCGCAGCAAATAAATTATGTACCTTCAGCTTTGACAATAAGGGCGGCGTTGAAACTTTTTGCTTCAGCATTGAAGTTCTTTCGGAAAGTTTTTATAACATATCGATTTTCGATTATTTTTTGCTATTTGAGGAGACCAATTTGAAATGGCATTTTAATCAGTCTTCTAATCGAATCTGACGGGTGTGCTTCGAAGTTTTGTGTGGCTGAAGGTTTTTTCAATTTCATAAGTGTGCTTGGGTGCTTTGCTTGGTTAATTTGGAATTAAAATTTCTGGATGTGTTTGTGCTAAACATTTGTACATCTTTTGCTTCCGTATTATTTCTTTTTTTCGGCGCTCGAGACTGGTGTCTTTCAGTTCCGAATGGAAGAAATAATGTTTTGAAGCAATTAAAACGCCTAGCCTTATTAGAAATTCAAATTAATATATATTTGCGATTTTTGTGACTAACTTCTAAGTTTGGAAAAATCCTGTTTCCATTATACAAATCCGTTTACGCTGAGGGCGTATCATAATTCGACACGGTATAGTACATATCATATCTTAAATATTAGGCCTTAGTTTATCAAAAATACATACAATAAAAAAAAGTGCAGTCATCCGGGCAAATTTATTACTACGAAAGAAACGGCACAAAACAACAGCCTTCCAGCGATAGTTAGCGTCGACTCGCGTCGCCATTAAGATTACCAACACAAACGTCTACAGCAGAAAAACAAGAATCAACGAAGCAACAGGCGGAAAGCTGATAAACCTCGATATGAATTAATTCAATTGGAAAATAACGACTACAACAAAATAAGAAACGAGTATCGAGAGAACGAGGAACTTCTGAAAACAAGAATCGAAATAAATATATGTACATAGAAACACATACAAAGAAACCGCGTTCTCAAACACAACCGAATGTTGTACATCGCTTGTATTTTTTGTGCTGTCATTGCGACTTTTTTTCTGGCTTATTTCCCTGTGTTCTGTTAAACGATCAATTGAATTCCAAATTAGAAATAATTAGATCTTCCAATCGAAAAAGTTCCACAACACACTTACAAAGTTACACAGAACTTTATTTTATACTTGTGCCTGGAGAAACTTGGGGTATATAATTTGTACCCTATTGAGAACAAAAGCGTCCGCATATTCCATAAGACAACCTGAATATTTTCTGTAAATTCAACCATCCTGTACTTCGATAATGTCCGCGGCTATTTTACAGCAGAAAAACGGAAACAATTCAATTTATTTTGAGTGCGGCGATATTTTCAAACCGGTAAGAATTATAATACCAAATATCAAAGTTGCTTTATTAACAGTTTTGGGGTATGTTAAGTTATTTACCCACTGTTTTTGGGTTAGTGAGCGGATGGGGAAGATGCGTGGCGGGAAATTTTCCTTAAAATCGGTTCAAATCTGAAAAAACACAAAATCAGGGCGGGTAGACGAGCTGTTTCTGATTATAAAAATGAAGACACCACCTGCCGGAGGTTTATACCTAGTAATTAAATAATTTGTTGTTGAAGTCACGGTTGCCGTTTTGGTCCAAATGGACCAAATTTGGTTCATTTCTTTTCGTTTGGTCCATTGGTCCAATTCTTTTTAAAATGGTCCATTTCAGAAGCCTTTGGTTAGGTTATTATCACCCTTTCACTTCATGCAAGTTTCGCGTTTTAATTTTTTTTTTATTTAATTGAATATGTAGAATATCGTCATCGTCAGTAAAAATGACGATACGGCCATCGTCAGCCATGTTACTGATGCGCTGACGATCGTCGACGATGATGATGGCGATATTCAGCATAGGGCCGATTGGCAACACCCGCTAAAAGTGAGAACTCGCCTTGCCACTGAAATATGGCTTAGCCATGCCATCTGTCAAAGCACGCTTCAAAAAATATCGCGGTTTCTTGCTAATTTCAATTACTTGGTGCCCAATATTAAAGTGGCTGCCAAAAATATGGAAAGGTAGCAAAACTTTAATCATAGCATTTAGTACATGAAAATAATATTTGATTTCAGCCGAAAAGATATTAATTATCTTGAAATTATTACACCATATAGAGTTCTTTCTGATACTGATATATCAATTTTGTCGCTACTCGACCAATTCCCTGCATTGGTAAATGATGCAGAAATAATTTAATTTCAATTTCGCAAATTGAGGCTGAGTGACGATAACTTCAAAAACTGTACCAATATAGAACGTTTTTGGGATCAAGTGAGTTTGATTAAAAATGGCGGAACACCTAAAGAATACTGACCTTTGACCATTATATTGATATACCATTTTTCTTAAAAAACGAAAGCTACAATTTTTTCTTTCCACAACAAATTTTAAACGTGTGTCAAGTTAGCACTACACTTTTCGAAATTGGAAAAGTTATCTACGGCATTAATTGTAGTGTTTTTGTTGTAAATTTGTTGTGGAAAGAAAAAATTTGTAGCTCTCGTTTTTTAAGAA